ATTAACACGATTGTGGGGAAAGGTAAGTCGGTAAGAGTCTTTAAGCGGCATTTAAAGATGTAACTGTAAAAATTTATTCTCAACCGAGCGCATTAATTTCCTAAAAAATATAGCTGTATATAACACATATAGCAGAGCATATTTATATATGGAACTAATAAAACATACTGCAATTCTCTGTTGAGAGCTTCACCAGTGTGGGTAGGTTAAGGTAATGTTCTGTCTGGACTAAAAGAAAATTTTATTTTAGAATACCCATTCATTCCATTTTTCGGATAATTTTATAAATAATACTTCAAAGATGTGTTTGTAAAGAAGAAAGTTTTTTTAAGCATCCAAAATTTAATTTTAGTTTACAGTTTAAAGGTCTTAACGCTGAGCCAGTTATCTAGGCGGATAAATTTGAGGTATCTTCTGGGTGGTGAAGTCTCCGTCGTTTGCTTAAAATCTGAAACTTTTTAGTCAAATATTCTGCTTCACTTTTTTCAAAGTAACTAAATGTAAACTTAAATGTAAACAAACAAAATTTTGTCGAATATTTTTTTCATGTATCAACGTTCATTTTGAAAGCACTATTTATTTATGACTACTAGAACATTTTATTTCTCAGCTGTCGTCGGTTGTTGCAACGTCATACGGGCGACACAAACAAACAAATTGTTTTTCAAAAGATTCTCCATTAAGATCTATACACTTTCGCATGCGTTTGTACTAATTGTCGAAGCACTTGTGCCGCTCTAATTGAAGTATATCCAAAACATGCCTTCTGAACGCACCAGTCTTCGGGTGTCAAAAAACGTAGAACTTTTAGTTTATTTATTACGTACGAGAGTAAATAGCAGTCATTCGGTGCCAAGTCAGAACTATACGATGTATGACTCATCAAGTCGATGTTTTGAGTACTCAAAAACTCAGTTGTTTCAGTCGATGTGTGAGAGCTCGCATTGTCGTGTTGAAGAGTGATCCGTTTTCAGCAGTTGGTTTTCCTGTCTCTTAAAAGTCAAATAGCAAATAATGGTATGGTTACCCATACAGTGTTTCCAGATGAGACGAATTCAACAAAAGTTGTTCGCGCACGAAACACTACCAAGCAAATGATTGCCTGTTTTGTTTTTTTTTTTAGAAAAACTGGATATGGCCATGATTCAACATTTATCACGATATCATAGACGTGTTTCGAAGCACTGCTTTGGTTTTTTTTTTCTCTCGACACGAAAAAATTGTTTTTACAGTCGAATGATCATGAAATGTTGTATATTATTATGTTAGTTCCACTAATGCCTATAGTTGTCATAATCTCACGATGGGTCACATGACGATCTTGCAATTTCAGTTTGCGCACAACATCAATAGTTTCCGGAACAACAACTGATTTTGAACGACCTTCATGAAATTTGTCTTGGAGTGATCTATGACCACGATTGGATTCACCACACCATCAATATAAGCTTATTCTATCAAAGTCAAAAATTTTAAAATAAAAAAATTCTAAAAATATACATATAATCGCCACTTTCCCTGTATACAGCATGTTCAAAACTAACCACAAAGTATAGTAAGTTGCTTACTGCACTTTCATTGTAAGAAACTTGACATACACACTTAAATTTGTAAAGGTTATAAAAACTATTAAGTGAAGGAGTGACTTAAAACTGTATTTAAAAAATCTTCGCGTATGTGACTTGTTTCATAACAGTTCTTCAATATTTGTTGGCTGCTAGGGAAATGTTTACCTACTTTATACTTGAGGCATTCAGAAGGATTTTTGTATTTTGTAATGACATTATATAGCATTCTACTCATACCTCATTTCACTCCAACATTCTTCTATAGTTTCTAATATTTTGGCAGAGGGGTGCTCATCAGGTTTGTTAAATTTTTCGAGATATTACCTATCAAAAGGAAAAACCATAACACAGCTATACTAAAATTTATTCATAAAAATCTTTACTTGTGCTTGCAACAACTGATTTGAAATCGGCAAAGTGGCAACGGATCTTATCTATACTAATATTATAAAGAGAAAGATTTGATTGTTTGTTTTTTTTGCATTGAAAAGACTTCCAAACTACTTGACGGATTTGAATATATTTATTTAAAACCAAGATATAAAAAATTTACCTAAAAATTCCTTACATCGTGTGCGCTGCGAATACTATTGATTATAGAGCAAAATAATGTACTGAGACTTTGCAGACATTTGCGCATGCGCATTGATATTTTGGCAAAAGAGTGTTAAAAATAATTTATTATGGGTATCCAAGTATAAAATAAAAGAAAATATTCACCATTGACACAAGTTAATATATTTACGTATATATTTTTGAATCTGTATGTACATATGTATGTACATATATTTGCAACATATGTTTTTTTGTTTATAAGAAAATAATATAAACTACTAATAAAGCTTATGACTTATTTAACACTTTTTCCTTCAATTTTGTAAAATACTATACTTTTTTCTGCGCACGACATAAATACATAAGTCTCCGCACACAAACATATATATGTACATACGATTGAGCTTTTTACGCGCTGCTTTTGTTTTCGCTATTATTCAGGTAAATGGTAAATGAAGTTTTGCCAGCCAACGCTTCAGCAGCAATTCTTCGTTTTTACGTTTCGACGTTTCTGTTATTTTTGTATTTTTGCTTACTTTCTTTATTGCTTTTTCCTTTTAGCACTTCTACTAGCACTGGTAATGGTGTGCCCCGCCGCCCGCTGCACCGCTTTCATCATGAATTCTTAGACAAGTTATTGCTAGTGTTTGCATCCGATGTTGTTGTTGTTGTAGTTGTTGTAGTTCGGTAGTCGTCATCTGCTGTTGCTGGTATTTTGCAGCTTTTGTGCGCTGTTTACTTGTTGTTGTTGTTGTGGTTTGCTGTTGGCAAGCGAACGATGAACGGAACTAGGTCAGTGGCACACATAAAACTCAAATACACTCATTCAAATGAAATAAAAAGCAACACACACACTTGCACACACTGAGAACACACACATGCATACATACACATACTTGTTTAAATGTATATATTTATGTATGTATGTGTGTATTTTAGCTCTTTTTTTCATTTTGAATATTTGTATTCTGTTTGCAGTCAGCAACTACAACAACTATGTATGTGTACCATTTTAAAAATAGTTGTTGGCCATTACTATAGCTATTACTATTATTATTCTTGTTATTACTAACTTTTTCCACTCGGATTTTTTGTTGTAATTTCTCCACACTTACAAACGTGTTTTGTATTTTTAGTGGAATTTTTCAGCATACATACATACATAAACGCATACATAATAAAAACATATGTGTATACATATATATTGTATATATTGTACAATATAAATTTAAATGTATATACAGTTCACAAGTAATTGTTGTTACTTGCTGCTACTTTGAACTGATTGCCGAAGTATGATTGAGAGAAATTTAGAAGAAGTTATGATGGAGAGGCACTTGATCATGTTTGAAAAGAGGAGCGCTATAAAAAAATTGTTGTTAATCCACAAAAGTGTGCTCAGAATACCATAGATCATATCTACAAGCAACTATGCGTCGTTGAAAGCATAGAAAAAAGTAAATGATCACTTTGTTCGATATATTTTTATTAATCGAGGATTTTATGCTCTGGAATAAATATGTCAACCTCTAAAATGGTGATAAAATTTTAGAACAAAAAATTTTTGTTTAACTATTTTATAATATAATTCATTTCATAATTTTTTAATATTCTTCTAATACTTTAGAAAATGTATATGAGAAGAAAAAATAAATATTTGCTTCCTCGATTCGTTAATTTGGAAAAAGTTCAACATAGCCTAAAATAATATTCAAGTTATAAGACTATCTCCTAGTACTACTTCAGAACACATTGCAAATAGTGTATAATAAAATAAGTTTTTATTTTACGGGATTTTTATTATTTTGTATGTCCGTTCGTTATATGACTTATTTTTTCAAATAGCTTAGTACTGGCTATGTAAGGGCAACGATTTTTTTTGAAGATCATTAACGACTGTGATTTGCTTATCACACATCAAAGGAGTGATCCATTTTTAAAGCATTGTTACTGCTGACGAAATATGGGTTGTTTCAAGGAATGTAAAGCCCACGAGATCATGATCTAATAAGGATGAACCAGCTCAAATTACTTCGAAAGCCCATAGTCATCAAAAAAAGGTTGTGTTGTCTGTTTGATGCGATTTCAAAGGTACCGTTTATTTTTAGCTTTTGCCCGACAATACCACGATTAATTCTGAAATGTATTGTGATCAGTTGAACAAATTGAGTGATGCACTCAAACAGAAGAGGCCAGAATTCATCAATAGAAAAGTTGTAGTGTGCCATCAGAATAATGCGAAACCTCTTACAAGCTTTTGCAGCTGTTAGCACATTCACCATATTCTCCAGACTTGGCACCTTCGGACTATTACTTGTCTCTGCAAAATTTTTTGAATGGAATCTCTTGCCCGAAACAATGCAAAAGGTATTGGATTCAAATGGAGAATATATAATTTCATAAAATGTCTTACACAATAAAAAAATCGTGTTTAATTTGCACTAAAAAAAAATGAAATTACTTATTGAACGATATTATATAATATATGGCAGATTAAAGATCGCAGTACGAAACTTGCTCTAGCTTCATGATTTTTAATTAGGCGTATACCTTATAATATAATAAAAACATATAAACTTATGTGTATCTATAGGAATTAACGACAACTTCTTTATTTATAAAAAAATCACTTACTGAAACTCTTCATTTTCACAGAAACGAAACAATTAAAAAAAAAAATCAGTTTCTTTTCAAAACATTTCAATGGCAACTCTACGAGCAATAATTCATTTCAATATTTTACTTGCCATAACATTTTGCCAAGTTTCTTTTGCTTTAAAAAATCACAAAATATTTTAAAGAAACAATTAAGTGAAAATAAGTTTTATCGATAAATCTACTTACCATGTTTTTCGTATAACTAAAAGTGAACGGAGATTTTTTAAGCAAACAATATTTATATTTCTCAAATTTTTAGAAACAATTTGCAACGCATTTATATTTAATATAATTTCATTTAATTTATAACTACACTAAATACAATAAACTATTTACATTTTTTAATATTTATATTTCTTTAATTTATTTTTTTAAATAAACATAAGGGATGAAGAGGTAAAGGCAGCTAATTGCTTTTGTTGTTGGATAGAGGAATGGTGGGAGTATACACATTTAAATAAATAATTGCACAAAAGTGTATAATTAAAAATAAATAATAAATATTTTACATTAATTTAATTTACATAAATTATTTAACTGAGCAATTGCTGCTTTTATGTGTGTGTGTGCGTTTATCCGTTAGTTTTCTACTTAGAGTTGCATGCTTTACATACTTACAGTACGTTATATGCGCTTTAGTTTTTTTATTAATATTCAATTATAATTTATAAGTTAAGCCTAATTAAAATTTAGTAGATCTAAACTAAAATAAAGCATCATGGATTCAGCAATGTATTTTAATTTTTTTTACAATGTCAATTTGAATAAACTTATTTATTAAAAAATAATAATTTTAATTATATATTGCTAAAATTTAAAAGAAAAAAATATTTGTTTAAGCAATTTAGAATAATTTTATTGAAGTAAATCTCTCGAATTTAAGAAAAACGCTTAACGCACCGCCAGGGCTGTTAGAGATTGCAACAAATTTTCATAATTTTTTTTTTCATAAACATAATTTTTATTTTTATACTAATAAATTTACTTTTTATACAAAAATTTTACTAAACTAATTGATTAAATTAATTTCCGCCATTTATTGCAACTGCATTTCGCTTATTCAACTCACTACTTTATTGCATATTCGTTTGTACATTATTGCTTTTAAACTTATTTATATACGATTTTTTTAATAAAATATTTTTTCATTACTTAAAATTTTTTTTTGTAATGTTTTGTATTGCTAAATTACACGTATGAAATAATTTTCCACTTTGAGGTACAATTTCTCTGCTCTCTTTTACGCCATATGCATATTTTACAAAGTTTGCTGCACACAGTTTTGTTTCAATTTACCGTTATATTATATCAACTTTATTTTTACACGCTGTTCTTTGAACTTAAATTTAAATAGATATTAGAATTAAAAAAGTTTTTAATTTTTTATTGTTTTAAGTTTTTGTCTAAATTTCCATTTATGAAAAATATTAAAAACATTGTTTTATATATAACTGTAGCTTTGTTTCGTTGGTAGAGCGCACACTTGCATCAAAACGGAACAACAGTTGCAAAAAGACAATTGGACGCTCCGTTGTTCTTACATTGCTTGTGCTCTCTTTGAGTTTTCGCTTGCGACAGTCGCTCATTTGCGTTGCTCTAACAAGCTGGCCTAATACCACTCACACGCTAACTACATTTTTTGTTTACTGTATTTTGACAGATTATTCAAAATGTCAATGCCATTTCTTTAACGAATTCGGATTTGTAGATTTCTCATTTGAAAAAATGCCAGACATTGAGTTTAATCATTATTAATTGCACTCAACTGCGATTGTCTATAAAAGTATCTATATTTTAAAGAGAATTCGATTTTTATATGTTCTATGCTTCATTATCTAAGTAAAAATTAACCAAATTTTTGATGAAAGCTTGCGAGCTTCAATAACAAGCTTTTTTAAGCAGATATTTCCAAAGTTCAGACATTCTGAAGCACAAAACAACAAACATGAGCTTAAAGAAACACTATTAGTTTTATGTAAATTGGTTATGAAATTGGGAGAAATAAATAGAAATTTATAAAAGCTGCTAATTATACAAAAGAGTGAAAGCTTTCCAAATTTTCATTCAATTACAAATATTGCAATGTACGCTTGTTAATATGTATTTGCTGAAAGCCAATTACATTTGTTTTCCAAAAAAAAAATAAAGAAAGCTTGCATGGATGATTCTTTGAAATAGATGGAAAATTGTTTCTACTCCATCTTCTTCTAAATTTAATTTTGAACATAAAGAGCTTTAAACTTTCAAAAGGGTAAAAGCTTGCATGAAAACCTTCCGAATTTTCATTCATTTATTATAATATATTTTGCAAACTAAGCTTACAATAAAATTATTGCAATGTATGCTTCTTAATCTAGTATTAAGAGCCAATTAAATTTGCTTCCAAAAACTGGTGAAATCTTAAACGAAAAATTATCTCGTAAATTCGTAACGAAATTGTTTCTACATTACGTATTTCAGAAATTGTATAAAGGAATGATAAGTTAAATGCCTATAATTAATTTATTAAAAGCATCTTTGTTAAAAAGGCACTAAAACCTACATTGAGTAAAACTAAAGAGATCAAAAGCAACCAACAACAACGAATAACAAATATTGACTGCGTGTCTCGTATTCCAAAATAGCCAGTAAAATATATGATTTTTCAATGTTAAAGTATTTTCGTTACCAACTAAACTACAAAAGAATATCTCATTACGTGAAATATAAATGGTTTTCGAATGTAGTCAAATTAATATATAGAAAATACTCACCACACTATATATAAAGGCATACATTTAGGAATTCGAAACACGCACTCGCTCATTGAAGAACATTGAATTGAGTAACACTTACACAGAGTCGTTGAGTAGTTGAGCGTAAGCTTTAAGCTCTCACTGAATAGCCACTCTCACGCTCAGCGCAATGATATCAGCACTTCAACGCCTTCAATAAACATTACGCTGCCTTCGAGAGTGTTGTTGTGTGGCGGATTTGGTGTAGCTCTAATGTGGCTACTTGTCGGAGTAGCTCCGGAGATAGCCACAAAACAGCTAACCACTCTATTACTAGCTTTGGAGTACTTGAATTTATACAGGATATTCAAATACACGCTCTCGACGCAAACACGTACACGCACACACTTAGGACACTCTCAGACGCAACGATTTTGTAGATTTGGGCTTGAACGCTCGCATATTGGCGTGCATCATGACAACACTGCTATGTTGTTCGTGATCCTCGCGCGCATCGTGTCAGTCACGCCCAATTCTCTTATGTATCTGTTGATGTTTGAGCAAGTGCGCCTTCTGTCGAAACGCTTTGGCGCAAACATCACAACGGAACGGTTTCTCGCCCGTATGCGTACGCAGGTGGACCTTGATGTTGCTCTTATTGAGAAAACCCCGATTACATATACTACACCGATGCACGGGCTTCTCTTTCCCTAGCAGACCGGACAGATCGTTAGCGCTGAAGTTGACCGATGATGGTGAAATTGCATTGAGTTGTTGTGGTCCAAGTCCGCTACTGTTAGATTGGGCATTCGCTTGTTGTTGTTGACTGGATTTCTTTTGGGAGCGCGAACGTTTCGTTTTTGGCGTACCGGTGGGTGTAATGGTCGTCGTATGTGGATAATTGCCTAGCATGTCGGGACTGCAGAGACCATCGGATTTCATTGAAGACATGGAGACTTGGTACTGCTGTGGATTTGTGAGATAGCGCGGATTAATCATCAGATTGTCCGTGGTCGAGACAACGGAACCTGGCGGACTCGAGGTGGACGTTGCTGTGGGCAGCTCGTTACAATATGAGGTAGAACTGGGCGCTTCACTTTTCATTGTGGCTGTATTTGCTTGTTGCGTTTGCTGTTGTTGCTGTGGTGGACCATTTTGTAGGCGGTTCTGCAGGAAAGGCATGTAGCCGTGCGTGAGCAAGTTCTGCAGCGTCGAGCTCGGATGCACAGGCGAGTGTGGCAAGATAAATTCGCTAAGCGTATCCTGTTGTGATACAAGCAGCTTACCATCTTGCTGTATGCAATTGCCATCGATCCACGCATCTAAGTCCATCCAGGAATCGCGCGTATCATTACCATCATCCTTATCTAGTTGATTGGGCACCGTTGTGTCTGCTATCGCTGAACCAATTATGGCCGCAATATCGTCTATCGAGTTCATATCTACATATTCGGACAGATCTTTTGCGTCGGTATAAATGCGTACACTACTGTGCAACGAATCCGTACCTTGGTCGCCACCACCCACCATACCGTTGCCATTGTTGACTATGCCACCGCCAGCACCACCGTTGCCACCACCACCACCAATACCAGCCGCGCCACCTACAGACATAACACAACTATCGGCCATTGAGTACAGCTTACTATCTAATTGACTATCAGCGAACAGTTTCACATCGTTAAGGCAGGCGTCCGCGTCCGGACTCAGAACGCTCTCGGGCAAGCATGTAGACGAGGAAACAATATTGTGATCGCCCGAAGAGCAATGACTGTTGGCACCACCACCGCCACCCCCACTTGACATTGAGGGTAACGGTGATGTGCCCGACGTCGCCGCCGCCAATTGTATGCTCGTGGTGCCATTGCCGGTCGGTGACGTGTGACTCGTCTGGTAGGCGCTTTGTATATAATTGTTGTTACTCTCATCAGGTAGCCTCTGTGCGATCGCGTGATAATGATGTCCCGAGATGCCATTTATGGACAAGTGTCCCGTATAGCCAGTGAACGGTGGTAGTGGTTTCAGGTCGGAGAGCGCATTCAGGGATGATGTATTCAAGAGCAGATTATCGAGCACATCTAGCGAATTTTTCTGTTCCGTGTCGCTGGGCAGCGAATCCAGATCGTGCTCCAGCAGTAATTTATGGCCATCGAGCAGATATTGATCTTGGCTGCCGTTCTGTGTGGGACCCCAGCATGGACTCATAAGTAAGCTTTCAACTTCAGATTCACTTGGTCCGTTCATGCTGCAAAACTTCATTGTATTTTACGGTGCATACGAGTAATTTTTTTCCTTCCGGTTCGTGTGAACGCAAGATGATGAACAAGGAGGACTGGGTGTGTATATTCGAAAATTCTAGTATAATTTTAGTAGGACGGGTATGCAGCTGGATAACTTGGGAGGACCATAAGTCAACGACAATAATGAAAATTGGGTTTTAAGTAAATTGTTGATTCCTGTTGTGGCTAACTGGAAATATAGAAATAAAAATTGGTTTGAAATATGTGCTCGTTTATGCATTGCAAGATTCTCTACTAAAATACTTAATAGTTTACTACGATATATGTATATGACTACATACGAACTAATTCAATATTGAGACTTATTCCGAACTCTTAAGAAACTACTAATATTTTAAGAGAGGCCCCAGAGGGAATTTTCTCAGTGGTTTTCTTCTCTCGTCAAGGAATGTTTTGTATTAAGAATCGTTTTCGAGGTTCTAGTTTCTTTGTCTTTTCGATATCTTAGTTTAAGAGACTTTCGAATCTAAATTGATGTTAGAACCTTTCAGTTAGTTGGAAATAATTCTACAATTTATGACAAACACCAGTGTAATTTAGGCATATTTGAAATCAATACTGATAACTGAAGAAAAAATTTTGTAAGTTCCTAAAGAATCTACCGAAAGGAAGTCTGTTAATCCTAAGAACTTTTTATTAAATCCACGAGCTAACAGGTCTAGGAGAGAGTGTATGGCCTACTAATTGTAATAGTCTGTTGATTCTAAGAGTCTTTTCAAATGTCTTGGGAACAACAACAATAATATACAATATTAGAAAACCATTTATTGTCAACTGAGCCAAGTTTTTGGCGGAACAAAAACTGAACAATGTGATTAAATCGAATTAAACAAGTAAGGAAGGGCTAAGTTCGGGTCAACCGAACAATTTATACTCTTGATACCTAAAAGGCATTTAAAATAGTGCTATATAGGAAGTAGGTGTTGTTGCAGTCCGATTTCGCCCATTTTTACAACGTGACATAAGATTGTCAGGATAATGTTATAAACCGAATTTGGTTAAATTGGTGGAGTAAGCCCCGAGATATGTAATTTCACCTAAATATGGGCGGTGTCATGTCCATCGTCCAATTTTGACCCTAGCACCTATAAACCCCTCTTGAATCATCCTGTAAAATTTAATGTCTCTGACGCATTTAGTTATTGATATATCGCGCTTTAAGTGGTTTTTAACAAAACCGTTATATGGGGAGAGGCCAGGATTATAATCCGATTTCATCAATTTTCACACTGTCGGTAGGAATTCTTATAGGATTTGTCCTTAGCGAACTTAGTTATTATAGCTTCAGTGGTTTGAGAGATATGAACATTAAACCTATTAGAAGGTGGGGCCACGCCCATTTTTTCAAAATTTTTCGTTCACAGGTGCTACTTACTACTACGATCCTCTGTACCAAATAACAGGTTTATATCTTAACTTAGTGTTTAGTTATGGCATTTAGGTTTTCGATTAATGGCATTTTGTGGGCGTGGCAGTGGGCCAATTACGCCCCAGGTTTATATTTGGAGTTTTGTGTACGTTTTGTTAATACAATTTCGAAAGTACCAATGCTAAATTTAACTCAGAATTAATAAAGGAATATTTATTTTTAAAAGAATAGCTAGCTGAGAATATTATAATATATGTCTACATAGTGTCGACTAAAATCGCCTTAACAGAAGCTAAACAATTCTTTACAAAGATCTTTGGATGGAAAAATTAATAGTTAGCCCATATCCGTCGTTTAATTTAGTTACGTAAAGAATTTATATTAAGAATTTTCTACCTCTTAAAAAACCGATAAATTTAAAATCTGTTTCTAGAATTAAAACAGCAAAATTCCTGTGCCTGAGACGCACACATATGTATATGTATGTATAAAACTTAAAATCAAAAATAATTTCAAAAAGGAGAGACAACTTAATTTACATTATGTATATGAAAACATGCATTGTATGTATATATTTACAAATGTATATGTGTATATTAGGGTGCTTCAAATATTTTTTTTTTTAATTCTTATCCAAATGTTTGATTTTTGAAAAACACTTAGTAATTTTTAAATGGCTGTAACTACTTTTCTTGAAAAAGTAATCACACTTTACCTCAGATCTTAGTACAGCTCAGGGCTCAACGTTAAGAATACAAATTTATTTTTGTTTAAAATTGCGCTACTTATGGGTAAGTTCAATTCTAATCAAATAACAAAATTTTCCAATTTTAATTATTAGAGAAACTAAAATAAAATTAGCGACCTCTTAGTTGTGCGTACGGCTCTTGTTTAGTGAAGATTTTATTTATTTACAATAAATAAAAAAAGAGTTAAAACAAATGTAATATTTTTGAAGCACCCTAGTGTATATAAGTACATAAATATGCATGCTTTGCCTTGCACTGTTTGCAGCGGAATAACAGCGACAGCATCAACAACAGCAACAAGAAATAACTTCAATGCGGTATTTGGGTCAAAACATCAATAATCTCCAGAATTAGCATACAAATAGCTTAGAAAAATCCTCGCTTAATTTATACATGTATATGTACTCGTAAATACATATAATCATGCATTTATTTACGAGTATAGAAACTCGTATATGTGTATATGAGACGTATTGGAAGCAAATAAATTGTAGAAAAAAATCCAAAAATAGTAGTATATATTAAGATTAGCTATTAAGGCAAGAACATAATTTTTTTAATTGCTACAATAACAACAACAAAGACAGGTTAACTTTAGATAAAATCGATTAGGGCATAAGCAGCAAGAAATATATAAATAGAAAACACAGCTAACTTAAAACATCACTAACTAAAAACACAAAAAACTAAACAGGAAAATAACAAAATACAAAAAAAAAATCACCCAATAACAGCAAAGACCGCTATGAAACAGCGCTAATGGTAGTTATAGTAAATTTTAAGCGCTCAGTGGCAAACGGCGTCAAGAAGATACGCCTTTAGTGCAGATGACTTCAGATTCCAAGATGATGCTTCAAAGTGAAGCTGGGAAATGCGTGTAGTTTCAGCTTAAGTTGTTCTGCAAGAATTTATAATATTTTTTTTTTACTTATACAACAATACAATATGCTCATGTTTGCATATTTATTACACATTGAAAGCAATGAGAAGAGGAATTTGGCTCAGCAAAAGTGCTAAGCCACAATTATACATAAAAGTTTATGTAAATATGTATGTATATGCCTGAGTATATACTCATGTATAATCAATTTATGTGCTACAATACATACATATACACACACAATTCGGCGCATAATTTTAAGATGTTGAATCACCATCAACCATTACCACTAATAATCGGTGGATTAACAATGAACAATACATTGCAGTTTGACAGGTGGTTGGACAAGTGTTTGAGCTTATCAGAAAATCAAAAGCGGCTTTAATAAAAGCAAGAAAGCCAAAGCAATGCCAAAAGCTTCAAAAACCTCCAAGATTTACACGAAGTCGGAAGAAAGCGTGGAAAGAAATGTGAAGAATATTTTAAGCGAAAACGTTATTTGAACAGGTAAAAAAACAGTTGAGCCTTGTGTACACTTACACGTTTACAGTTATGTACTTTCATGCGTATAGACCTGTTCCTATGAACTTTTTTTTGGGTTTGGCAAGTCGAAATATGTTCAAAAAGTAGGTGTGTTTATTCTTTGAAGTTGCTTTTGTTTTTTGTTTTTATTTTTAAATGAAAACTGTTATTTGTTTTTAAGTTTAAGTGGACGGATGGGCGTACAAAAAGACAGGTGATGTAGGCATGAAATATTTGAAAACTCTAGTAGAAATATAAGCATAGATAAAGAAGCGAACCTTTTAAAGTCGCGTTTTAAACATAGTTCTCTTTTCCAATGGATTTATTGCCAGGAATTTTCACAGGTGTATTTTGCATAGCATAAAAGAGCATAAAAAAATCGCTATCTTGATCGATCGGTTTGAATGCCAGCTACATTCATTAGTGCTTTTGAACAATATATTGCACTATTTTGGTGTTGCCTTAGATAATAATCTGTGCAATATTTCGTGAAGATATCTTGCCAAATAAAAAAGATTTTTATACAAACACTTGATTCTGAGCATTCAGTTTGTATGACATCTATGTATATGATAAAAAACGCTTTTTTGGAAGAAAAAGACGTTCGCATCTCAAAAACTGAGGGACTAGTGCTCTGATATCCAGATAAACAAAACGACGGCCGTCACTGATATATATATGGGCGTCTATATAAAGTTTGAGTCTACTACTTTCCAAGATCGTGTCTGAGATCTTTTTGAATTGATCTCGAACCGTTCACAACAAGTTTGTGTCTTAAGTTTTGGTCATAAATTGTTATTCCGAAGAAAATTTCGAAAAACAAAAGTTTTTTAAATTAAACTATTCATATAATATATATTTAATAAATGCCGAGAACTTTACTACGCAATATTTGTATTTACAGAAAAATAGGAAATAATTTTAATTATATTATTATATATTAGATATTCACAATCATAAGTAATTTTGTTATGACCGTCAATGTATATAGTTTGTTTCTTTGAACCTTGTGTCTTAAGTGTTTTGTTGGGTAGTACATTTTCGTACCAATATTCACAATAAAAAATTTGTTTTATTTCGATAATCCAAAAGCAGATATAGCATTCCTGTAATTTATTATAAAATATTAGTTTAATATTGATTGAAATATTTTTTTAAATTACACATTTTGCGTTGTTTAAAAATGCATTGCAAATGCTTTTTACTATTTTGAAGGAAAATTTGCAATAGCTGAATTATTAATTTATATTATATTGCATATTTGCTATTTATTTGACCGTCACTGTATAAATGTGTAAATATTTGTTTGAAGTTTGTGTCTGAAGTCTTTTGTATACATTAAACATGTGGACTCAAGTTTGTGCCTTAAATCTTTTATAACCATACCGCAACTGTAATAGTTTGGTACCGGGTTCGTGCCTTAAGTCTTTAGTTTATGAAGTTAGACGGTTAATTCCTTACGCCAAGTTTGTGGCTTAAGTTTTGTGTGTGTGTATCTTGCATAATAATCACTATTGAATTTTCACTGTGTATTTGGTGTTTGTAGCATTTCTATTAAATATCCTTACTGTAGGACCTGAACATTACAGTTCTTTATTTTTACTTTTCAGTTTAAAGTGTGACAAATTTTAACAATTCACTTGCGGCAT